CGTTTTCCGAATCTTTTCACAGTGAGAGACATTGGGGGGCCATTTGCACGACATACTTGTCCGTTCTCCAGCGCAATTCAATTTACTCGAGTTGCAGTCGCATTAATACTCGCAGGGACTGGTAATTTCTGTTTTGTATTGAGAATCCCGGGGACAATGGTATCCGAGTTAATGAAGCAATTCGCCATGCATGGCGAGGAACGAAAGAGGCTTAAAGAGAAACAAGATCGAACAAAATTTTCGCGCGTGTGAGGCTAAATCGCGGGTTCTACGAGTACAAGTCGTAAGTGAATTCTCGTTCATCCAGCGGATTGAAATGAATTTCATGAGTTCTACTGTTACTCTGGTAAGGATTTTCCACGTTCACGAAGCTCGCGTCGAGAAATTGCCCACTTATCTTTAACCTGTGTTTTCAAACTATATTTCAAACAGAAAAAACGAAGCAAGAAAGTGTATCATTTAGAACACCAAATAATCGAACAATTTAGAGAAATTTGCTTCGTCTAATAAACTAACGTTGGATTATTTCCAGATCGACATCGATTCGAGAAAACATGATGCGTCAATAATAAATAATTATTTTTCAAATGTTTCATTCGAACAACGAGTGCGATTGGCAACGGTCAGATGAAAAATCGTCCACACTTTAATTTTGTATTATAATTTTATATTTGAAAAGGGAAATCCAGTTGATCTTATTTTGAAGTGTGACCAAGTGGACACTTTTAATAATGATTTCAGTCTACCGTGTAATCGAAGACTGAAATTTTCTCTTCACAACTCGCTCGTAACGAGTTGTTTCTCTCCTTCAGTTTTTCACCTGGAAATTTTACGGTTTCTCAGATCTTTGTCATCTGAGAAACCCTGATGCTCGACGTGAAAAGGAAAAATCGCGCGAAGAAATTTCGAAGAAATGAAAATTTTCGAGAATAAAAGTACTCCTGCACGATATAAAAAGATCTTCGAATCCTTGGTGAAACGAACAGTCAAAGTAAGAAGCTTTACTCTTTGAAACCAATAAGACCGTTAAGCAGAGATTCCTTTCACGATTCTCTCTTCACAGAAGTTGCAACAGCTTAAAGCACCGACGATTTTTCATCGTTACGTACGTGTTCGGTTATTCTATGTCTTCGCTGTATGTGTACGTCACGCGTGTACATTACACGACGTAGATTATACCGCCCTGTGTTAGCAGCAGTATTATGTGACCCACACGCGATGATATTACACGACATGCCGCGAATTCCCCGGAAGCCATTTTCATCAAAATCGAGGTAGCTGCAGGTTTCTTGCACCTGACAGACAAGTCAGTCGCCACGAATTTTCGTGATCGTGACACCGAGTATCGAAGACCCGCCTTTTATTATCCGAAATGGAAATCTTCAAGAAACTCGCGTAGATGAAATCGTTGAGAATTTTTTCGAAAAAAAAAGGATTTCTCTCTCAGTTAAATTATCATTTCCGAATACTCGATCATTTCAAACTCGGTCATACGAATGGCACAGCTGTTGGATGACCAATCAAACCTATATAATAATATTAGATGATTAATCAGGCCTAGTAATGTTGGATAACCAAGTCTAATATTGGATGACCAAGCAGGCCTAATAATATTGGCTCAGTACTAACACTGAGTCAGTGCTTCTCTTAAAGCAGAGGTGGCTAACTGGCGGCTTGCAGGCCCTTGCCCCCACTTTCCTCGTGCGCTACCCCCTCCACTGCATCATTTCTCCCCACTACATTGAAATTTACTCGCCACTCTCTCTCACTCTATTGATTTCCCTATCAAGCAAGTGGAGACCATGCCTTTAACAACTAATTGCAAGTGGAAAGATCAAGATTAGAGAATTCTATCTCCAAGTGTTATGACCGAACATAGTCGAGAATAAAGACACAAATTTGAAGGTTAATTACTGAATCTTCTTTTTTTTTTTCTTTTTGGGAGTGACATTATTATACAAGTCTATTGAGAGACAGTGAGATCCTAGATAGACATGCTATCGGTAGAATAAAACCGTCTAAAAACTACAAGTATAATTCCTTTACTGTGAGTACACACGTCTCTGGTTGAACGAGAAAGGAGGAACTCGGCTCAAATTTGCGATCTCGATCTCTCTTTGAGCACTCGCTACTCTCTTACAACACGGGACGACAAAGGTAAAGAGATACAAAAAGTAAAAGTTCTTTCCACCTCCCGTGTACCAAGGGAGAAATTCCCTTTATTTCTCAAGAATTCCCAACGTGAAAGCCCTTGCGTACTTTCGTTCATCCCGGGGATATTTGGAATTTCAAATTGGCCCGGGTTTTGCTATCTCGGATTACACCAAATATT